ATTTGAATGTCAGGTGAACAACGTAACACCGCCTCTTACACTGGGATTTAAAACGCTCATAGAAATCGTGTTTGGTTTAAACAAGATAAAATTATGAAATCACGAAGATATGGCAGCAGCCCATCTTATATCACCTGAAGATTAACTACCCTAACACACCCCCCCCCTCACCACCAAAGTGGCACTTCTGTGTATAACAAGTAAAATCTGATTGGGTGCCTAATCTTCACGTGGTGGCTAATGTCGAGCTGAGTTTGGCTGCGCTGAGTGGTTAGTTGCTTATATTGTTACATACGTTTTAGCCTAAAAGTGCTGTTTACATTTTGTTCCCGACAATCATAGACCACTTAGAACACTTATGAATACACCAATGAAGACTGAAGGCATAATGTACACAGTTGAGACATCTCTATTACGCCGACTGGGAACAACCACTTATAAGGTTTGATCATGGACACGATTAGGTGTTAATCTAATGTTCATAATCCTCTAAAGCCGTGTTAAAGGACTCCGTATAAATGCTAAACCGGATAATGGTCTAGGGGAGAAGGTCGGGTTAATCAGCGTGGGTGGTCGCCTTGTTCTGGTACCTAACCTTAAACTCCTACAACCAAATCACGTTGAAATGGATTTCTACCCCAGTGAAGCTGTCAAGATCATTCAGTATAATTAAGTCCCAGTCATCAACATTTCTATACAATTAATGGGCTATCGAATTGACGTAGATTGGAGAGAGAAATAAGTTGTAAGGGAAATATACACAGCGACATACCTTATATTTTTCAACACCAACACACACATGATGGCGTCTGTATTTTATAATCCTTGACAACTGGATGTATTAATTTAGGAGCATTTTGTAAACGTTAACTTCCGTCACACATCCACTAATCGCCTCGACCGTCTCACTACTGGCCGGCTCCCTCCCTCCACGTCTGGCTGTCCCTGGTCTAAAGTTCATCCACATCTCCACCACACACTGAACCATCTCCAGTACGAACATACGCTCTTGTGGTGTTGAAGCACATGATATAAAGCGTCACTTGCGAACCTTAGTAATAACACTTAATCGGATGGCTGGCGTGGCCATATTTGTTTTGCTTAATTTGACACCATAAGAAAGTACTGATACCTTCCAAAGTGACAACTGAGAGCTCGACTCCCAGACACTGAACCACCCGATCGAAACTTCTATCTAACCGACGCTCTTGTAATGATAAGGACCGGATATTACATGTAAATGCTCACTAACAGAAAAACTGAGTTGCTTCTGCAGGAAATAATGGGAAACGTTTTTTATTCAGCTGATCAACAAAAATCACAGATGGTTCAGAGAAATGTGGCTCCAAGCTCGACTCCTGATTCAGCGCTTCGTTTGTGGTGCCCAGCCACTCAGAACTCTCGATACAGATTCAGCGCTTCCTTTGTGGTGACCAGCCACTCAGAACTCATGATACAAACGACAGGTTGACATATTCCCATAGGTAGAGGTTCTGCATGATGAATACATTCTGAATAAATTACACGTAATGTCATGTAGATAATCAGAATTTATTGCATATGCCAAACAAAGATTTTTATTTGGTATATTACGATATATTTATTTTTATGAGAAAATCTACAAAATGGCGTAAACGAACCGAAATAACCACTAATTTGTACCAACTGACACTGCTGGTAGTCAAGGCGGGCGGGGGAGAGGGCTCAGGGGTGGTAATGTGTGGTGTGTGTGATGATGATGATGAATGATGATAATGATGGCGTATATGTGATGACGACGATGATGATAAATAATGAATGATGACGATAATGATGGCGTATATGATGATAACTAATGAATGATGATGATAATGATGGTGATGATGAATAATGATGATGATTGATGCTGCTGAATGATCCCCAGTTATTATAAGACAATTCATCATCACTACAGACACACTTGGTTTGATTTACAGGGGTGAGGTTAGGTTAGGTTTCATTTCACCCCACATTATGGCTTCGTCCCCGTGCAATAATAACCTACCTCAGAGTTCCTCATTTACTATTTATGAATGTTCAGTCATACTAATTCCCTCAGTGGCAAACCTCTGGATGAAAGGCTAAATATAAAATGATAATACACGCGTAGTTGCTAGTGGCGTGGTTGCTAGTGGCGTAGTTACCAGGGGCGTATCCAAAGGCTGAGTATTTTTGTTTACCATATATAAGAACACCTGATATCGGGACACAAGCCATCTGGGTGGTTAGTTTATCCAATGTTGGTGCAGGCGAAAACCGGAAATCGTGCTACGTCAGACATACATTTAAACCAGAGGCGATTCGAACCCTGGACTTGTGAGAGAGAAATACGCACGTTACGATATACAACCCAAGATCCAAGTGAACCCCTGCTGTTGGTTCGTCTCCTTCTCCCTGGCTGGATTTTCAACCTGAAGTGATTGCCCTCGGTGGACCGCTCCCGAAATCCCACGTGAACCCTGTTATTCTCTGCAAATACCACCTCTCCAGGATCGCCCACTGGTCCCCAGGTAGGGTCGTCCTCTACACTGATGGTTCTGTTGACCCCGCTACAGGTCGGGCCGGGGCTGGTGTCTACATCTCCCGTCCTGATGCCCCTGAGCCTATCAAACTGTCTCTCAGAGTTTCTGACGGGGCATCCTCCACTCAGGCGGAACTAATAGCCTCCTTGCTGCCCTTCTCGCTGAGGAAGAAGCATTTGGGGAATGAGGCAGCAGATGGCCTTGCCAAGACTGGCTGCAACAAGGCCACACCTGACTACGTTGTTCCTCGAACACTTTTACAGCTCAGGACCCAAATTCGCCGCAAACAGAGAGAAGCTCGGGAAGCAGCCATCCCCCTGGACTCCCCGCCCACCTGGTACGATGTCCTCCGTAAACTTCCTGACCTCTCGTATGTCTATGGGAAAGGGTCGCGGAAAAGGGACGTGATTGCTGCCCGTATCATCATTGGGTATGACTTTGCTTGGGAGATTGGTATCCCCGCATCCCCTGAGCAACGCTCTTGTGCATTATGCAGAAGACCCGACAGCCGCACCCTTATCCACTACCTCCTAAGATGTCCCCACACACAACGCTTCCGTGACGCCTGCTGGACCACCACTCCACGACCCCCTGACGGAGACACGATGATCCTCCCCATACTGGCCAGATATTATGTAAATAACATTGATTATGTGTTAAAGGAATATACTTCCTTTCTTAGGCTTTAGTAAGCCCCTTTATAATATTTATACTGTATATAATTGTCACACTTGCCAGATGCTTCTGGTGTTATTGTACAGGGGAACCCAGTGACGGCACTAGGATCCCGCTTCCTCTATCAAGGAATAAACAATTGAAATTGAATTGAATTGATCCAAGTGAGGCGCTAGGTATTTACACTATCAAGGGCAAATAATTATATTGGAAATGTTGGTTAGTGATCCCATTACATAATTTACTTCAGCAATAGCATCATATGGGCCCCGGTGACGATACCTACCACTCTTACCTTAACAAAAACTTCAACTGAACAAGGTGTTTAACATGACATAACCAGGCCGATAACCCTCATGTATATATGTATATATGTATGTATGTATGTATGTATGTATGTATGTATGTATGTATGCATGTATGTATGTATGTATGATTTTTACTGAATAAATTCATACAAAATCAAGGTCCCAGTACAGGTTGTGCTGCCTCAACCTAAATCCCAGGTTAGCTTAGTTAGCCAACAAACTCTGTAATATGTAAAACAAGGGGTGTCGTCTCCCTCTGTTTAACTCATTAAACTTCTTTTCCAACCTTTCCCCCCACGACTATATGTTGTGACTTCTATATCCCTCATGTCTGGCTGTGCCTCGAGCCCCAGCAGGCCTTCCATCCTTTCCCCACCTTAACCTAAAAAAAAAGTAAACTTTCACTCACCTGTTCGTTGAAGTTTCTTAGATCCCGTTTGCCATCGTCCATCACTTCATATTTTCTACGCTGCATCGCTCCAGTGTTCGTATATCAACAAATATATACACAGAAAACTTTTATAAGTATCGGATGGTAATTCATTATGACTGTTTTCAGGAGCATTAAAGGTTCAGTATTCCCTTTAAACTAACATGTTGGGAATTTGGGCACGGTGTATATTTCAGTCATTATTAGAACGTCCTTTACGACATAACTTGTAAATGGATGTATATTCTCATAGGTTGTAGTCACTAAACTGTCAACTTCATGTGCCGTTCGTTATAAATCGTAATAAATATCTCACTCTGATGACTGGTCACCTCATGTTGACGTCTGGTGTGGTGTGGTGCAGTGCTAGAAACTGGCTAAACTGAAAACAATATGGCTGGAAATATGGCTAACTCTTCAATGCATACATATTTAAACAGAAATTGAAGGAACTACGTATTTTAATTGATGTTTTCCATACTAGCTCTTTTTTTACCTTTTAATTAGTCACATCTTGTAATATAATGTTTAGCACATCATCGTCATCTTCATTTTCATCAGTGGACAATGTTGACGGCTTGTCTGATGCACTTTTGTTTGACTGCTCATACTTATGACTTGAGGTTACAAGGTCGAGAACATCATTTGGAAAGTCATATGTTACACAAGTTTCTGATATCCTTTTAAGGCCATAGTGAAGGTGAAGTAATGCATTAATGGTGTCTCTTTTCATTTTATTCCTTAGCTTGCTCTTAACCAAGTTTATTTGATAAACATTTTCGATTTCAGCATTGGAGTGTGGCAAAGTTAGGATAGTTAAGGAAGCTGATGACAATTCTAGGTAAGGATCAAGTTTGAAGCAGCTTTGTACCTGCGGACTTCAGCCGTGTCCTGGGTTTCACACCATTTTACAAGTGTAATATTTGACCAATGGAGTTAAATTTTTGTAATATCTTCTGCTCTGACAGAAGTAATAGACGCTGCACTATATGTCTGACAGAAGCACAACAATCCACATAGAAGGTTATTAGTAAAAAAAAGAAGCAATGAAAATACTACATAACATTTAATATTTACTACAGCCGTGTGATGTTAACAGAGAGAGAGAGAGAGAGAGAGAGAGAGAGAGTGTGTGTCGTTATTCTTGGGTACATCCAATTCTCAAGTCCAGGCCATCATCTTGGGTGACGGTCACTGGCGGCGGACCATCAGTTTCACCTCCGATAGCCCCACATAGGATCGGGAAGATTTGGTGAAGTACCAGGTGGACATGAGAGTGAAGTCATCATTAACGTTACCAATTGGAGATGTTAGGTAGACGCCTCCACACCTGTTAAACCACCAGCCTCCATGACCACGACTAGCCGAACAGCCTGTGTGATGATGATAATAACGTGACGTTCTTCATTTAGTCACATTATTGTATAAATCACTTATAATACTAATTTACTGCGTCTTCCCAAGCGTTCACTTCCAACTTTTGAAAATATTTGTCGTCTTACTGGTGTGACGATCATGGATAATACTGAATTGATACGGTTTGTGTGTGTGTGTGTGTGTGTGTGTGTGTGTGTGTGTGTGTGTGTGTGTGTGTGTGTGTGCCAGTTAATATGAGAAAACTCAAACATAAACACGCCATCACTTACTTTTGGACCAGTTGTCGGAGTCACGGTCATCTGTCGAGAACGTCACATCATCGATCTCAACAAAGACGTTTCCTAGAGTGCTTATGGTGCTGTAACTATGCAACCTGAGTCTGTACCTGAAGAAGAGAATGCTGTCTATTATACAGTACAGTATATAGAATCTATAAACGAACTACATGGGTTCATTAAATGTTGACCTCAGTTTAAACGCATATTAAATTTTCTTCAATCAAATATCATCATTTACTTCCCGCAATCCATCACAAAACACAACATAACTATCAATCAACTTGTAGAGGACTGCGCAATACTGAGATTTTGAGCATTCCGAAAAAAAATTCTTCTCAAAATTGGAAATTCATGTGTTTATCATTGTAACAGCGGATCTCTCCTATTGGGAGAAGGAAACCTAGATGTACAAAAGCCAACTTCATTCTTGTGATAATACTTTTACTTTTTACTTTGTCCTGTTCGCTGCTTGGGCTGTCGGTCACGTCTCTGTTACGCACAGTTGGCAAGTACTGGGCATGCACTGGCTCCTGAATGTATCTGAACCTGCTCCAGTGTTGGTCAAGTCTGGTCTTGAAAGAGCTCACACTCGGTGCCGTCACAACACTCTCTGGCAGGTTGTTCCAAGAGTTTACAATTGTCACTCCGAAAAAGTTTTCCCTCACAGTTTTCTGCATTTGTGGCTTCTTCAGCCCTGAGCTGTGACCCTTGTGGGGCGAGCGGGCATCCGCCAGCTCCAGGCATGGACACTCGACCAAGTTTATAAACTTTAATTAGGTTACCCCATGCCCGTCTACAGTATAAGCTAGGCAGTAGCGGGGTCCGGACAAAACCCCTTGGGTTAGGTTAGGTTTATTCAAGGGGGTTTTGTCCCAGGACATTTTTTCCGGGGGGTGGGGGGGAGGGAGGTTGTCCTACACTCAGCAGGCAGTAGCAGGCGTACTAATCTCTCTGGGTACCTGAGGTGCTGAAGTGCAGGCACCAGCCTGGTGGCCCTCCTTTGGACATTTTCGATCAACTGACAGTCTCTAGCATTTATTGGGGACCAGACGGGGTGACAATACTCGTGACAGGGAAGCACCTCATTCTTGAAGAGCGTTACGAGTGACCGTCTAAATATCTGAACGACCTTCTTATAAGACCTACTAGCTTAGCTGCTTAATTCACCTTCTTCTCACAATGGCCCGAAAACTTTAGTTCTATGTCACCATACACACCCAGTAGAAAGAAAACACAAATAGCTCCCAAATATGTCCACACTATTTGTTATGTATAGAGAAATAACAGGCGAGGCCAAGCAGAGATAGAATTCGTCACAAATATGATATTAATGAAGACGGAACAAACGGTCGACGAATGACGACTTTACAATAAGAGGAAAGAGACGTAATTCCGACATGTGTATTAAGACAGCGCCTCAGTGTCAAGATAATCACAATAATATTTAACACACTAGACAAAGTGATGGAGTGTCTAGACTCTAGAGTCAGTGAAACAATGTCTGTACTCACGTATGATCACTTATGCCCCAACGTAGATCCAACTGACAATTCACTGTACACCGTTGCCTGGACTATAACTCCGGCCATCTTTAGCACAACGACGCTCCGTCTCGTCGAGTGCCAAGGCTCTAATGCGCTCTAAAGGTGGGTCGTGGGCATCAATGTGAAGAGCCGGCTAAGATAGCGTTGCTCGGCGTTGCTCCCCAGTCCTTGCAATCAATCCCATGTGAAACTAACGCATAGCGCCTGTTAGCTGCTAACCACCCTAGCTCGAGCAGCTTCAAGGTGCCCTACGACTAGTGCCGCACCGTGCCAGGCTTTCCTCCCTCCCTGAGACAGTGAATGGCGCGTCACGAGGTTTGAGCTGGCCTTACTGGCAGCTCATACGCCCAGAATAACACAAAATGGCAAAAACTTGCCATCGAAAATCATGCCGAGTAATTAGCATTAAAAAATAATTTATTTTTCGAAATCAATAGGACAAGTCATTACCAAAATTTCACAATTTTAACCACATATCCTTCATCAGCTTGTCGTGGACTACCTGCACTGAGACTTTCATCAACGATATTTTTTCGGCCCAAAGTGTCAAGTGATTTTAGGTGAAACTCTATACCTGGAAAATCAGAATTAATGTGCTTAAACGGTAAAGTCAGTCTAGTTTAAAGTAAAACCATTAAAAACGTTATTTAAAACTTAAAGGCGTAGAGTAATTCACTTTTTAACTATTATATATGTCTTAATTAATTCAATGACCATTAATGAATACAAATTAGGCATACTTGTAAATTTACAATTTTAAACCTCGATCTTTAATCATCAAGTGGTGGAGTGGTTTTGACCGCTTTCCTCAAAATACACATTTTCTTTCAAAATTGGAATTTAATACATCTAACACACTAAACTCAAGGGCGTCTGCTGGAACTTTTCCAAAGAGGGATAGGCAAGCCCCCACTGTCGGGCTGCTGGGTGGGCTAATATTTTAGTGGCGTGTTTTTCCTTTCCTTGGTTTTTGTTGTGTTAGATTCTAAATCACTTTCTTTTGTTGGAAATGTGTTGCTTATATGATGCCTACAGTACTATGTCACCCAAACATGTTAAATATGTGTAACTGGCCAAGATGTTACAGAAGAAATTGTAACATCACAGTACCAAGGTGTAACACATCATGGTACCAAGGTGTAACACGTTGAAGGATACTAATCCAAGATGTGAGGAGAGTAGTGGTGGACGCCTTACTGGAAGTCCTCGTGAGCAACACTGAAGTGCTCCCACTCAGCGAATCGTTTTTCTCCCTCTAGGTTGGTGGCCTCCAGCCTCAGGTGGTAAGAGCCTCCACCAGTCAGCGCGTGGATGTTGTCATTTCCTGTAATTGAACACAAAATATTGGCATTTACTGGTGTGGTTGGGAATGTAACAGCTGTTGATTGTCAATTCAAATCAATAATGTTATGTTAATTGCGCTTCATCAGGCTATCAACAACTTAAGAGCATGTTAACTAACGCAAACAACAAAACTTTACGACAGAAATCTCGTTACCCAGCCAATATTCTCCGTCTGGATCCCCAAAACCATTCTTGTAGTCTTGCCAGTTTCTGGCGAAGTCCACTTGTGGAGTTTGACGGCGGCGAGAGAGGATCACCGTCCAGGCATAATTCCCTGGTTCCTCGTGTATCTGGCACAGAACACTTACACCTATTTGGGAACTGATCAACACCGTTCAGGTAATTATAACAGCACCAGTATTTATTTGAAGTTACTTTTCAGATATGGAAAGAATTAGAATTTATCACACATTAACAAATACTTATAATAAGATTTTCATTATTGCTGGACGAAGACTTTGATAAATAAGAAACAGAACAATATAATAATTACAAAGAAATAATGTTTGAAAGTGTGGAAAAACTTATTGGGCACAGGAGGAACGAGGCTAAGAGTTGATCGACAAATGAAAATTGAAAGAAAATGGATAAACGAAGAAAGTTGATTAAAGGATGAGGCTGGACTGTATGATGGTATAAAATGAAATGCAAGGAGATAGGAGATGGCGACAGAAAGTATAACTGTAGGGAAATATACAGAAAGATTAAACAAATGAACCAGAAAAAAGGTACAAATGGAGTGGGACTAATAAAGGCAACGACAATAAGATCCTGATTGAGGAAAACAGTAAAAGAGAGATGGGCAGAGTAGGTAGAAGAACTACACAATGATGAGGATAAAGTAGAGGTAAGAAATGAAGAGGAAATAAAGATCAACTACCAATTCTGAAATCTAAAGTTGAGGCAGCTGTGAACAAAATGAAAAATGGTAAAGCTTGTGGGTTTCATCAGCTTTCAACAGAATTTATAAAACAAATGAGCAAGGATGGGATATTATATTGGATTAGAATACGTAATTCTATAATACTTGAAAGGAGACCTTAACAGTTATTTAAAAAAATCAATATTTGTATTGTTACGTAAAACGCCAAGAGCCTTAGAGTGCACCCTGTTTAGAACAATTAGCTCAATAATTCATGCCTGCGATGTGAGTTAGATAAAAATGGATTTATAAGGGAAAAGGAAATAGAGAAGCTATATTTGGTTTGAAAATTGTGAGTGAAAGAGCTTTAGAGGTTCAAAGAAATATGCATATCTGCTCTGTTGATTTTGAAAAGCTTTTGATAATGTAAAGGACAATAAACGTGTAGAGGTCTTGGAAGAACTAGGCAATAGTGAAGCAGATGTTATATTTCTAAAATATATTTATTGGCAACGGTCAGCTGCAGTGTTAGTAAATAATGAACTTACTAATTGGTTCAAAGTTAGACAGGGAGTAAGAAATCAGAATTTTTAATAAGAGAAGTTATAAGTGGTAATGAAAGAATAAAACGTATGGTAGGCAACAGGAAACCTAAACAAGTGGAAAGTTTTGTGTATTTGGGAAGAAGCATTACCTGTGATGGTCGATGTACGGAAGACATCAAAACAAGAATAATATGTAAAGCAAAAACAGCATTTGATAATGTAAAAGACCTAATGAAAAGGGACATTATCATCACTCGGAGAAAAAGGCTGCTGAGAGGCTCTGCTGTATATGGTCAGCAGCGAGGACACTCTCAGCAGACAGAGGTTAGAGGCCTTTGAAATGTGGTGTTGTAGGTGAATATTAAGAGTAAGTTACACTGACAGGAAGACATACGAAGAAATACTACGGTTAGCAAAAAATTCAAGAGAAATACTTGAAATGTAAAAAAAAAAAAAGAGATATTTTGATCATGTATTTAGGGTTGAACGAATAATAACAGGGGTAGAAGGGCCGGGAGAAGGCAGAGACTGGGATGGATGAATGAATTAAAATCTGGGTCCCAGAGAGATACAAAATCTTGGAGGATTGATAACCCTCGGATGTGAGGACGGTACTCTGATTGATCACAAGTTATCCAGTTGATCACCACAATACTCGTATCACGTCCGTAGACAATAAGCCATCGATGGATCCACGACCTGTGTAAAACGCTCCTGAGATGGACCAAAACCGTGTCTTGACTCTTAGGTCCATCACTGCATGTTAATGAAGCTTTATGGCTACTAAAGGGTGACGCGCCAGTAATGAATAATAACCAAATTATTAGATGACTGTGATGCTGTTGTTGTTTTCTGTGTTCAGTTGATGATATGATATTAAGTCTGCTTAAAGAACTATGAAAACTACAACACTACTACGATACAGACATGTGTTGCTTTGTTGTGGGATGATAACACGTGGAGTGAACATTACCACCACCTGGCGGAGAGAGGACTTACCAGGCCGGGAAGATTGTATACACTCCGCTCTCCACCATTCCCTGCTGGTAGAGTCCATCACAGTCTACAGTCGGGGAAGTGGTCCTGTGAGGCCATCATCAGGAAGTTAGTAAACATAAAATATGTGAACAACGTGTTTCTGCTGGTGACTTGTAACACACACACACACACACACACACACACACACACACACACCAGTATATAAAGTTTAATACTTCCGTTATCACGGCAGTTAGTCTTATAGTTACTACATATAAACAATGACATTACCGGGTACTTGGATAAAATAAGATAATCCACCAAATACTAACTTTACGGTGACTTTGGTTACATTCTGCCGACACTCCTGCAGTTGATCCTCGAGGATGACCTTAGCTTCCTCTAAACTTTGGCATTCTTCCTCGAGTTGTCGTGTCCTGTTGGCCTGGTTCTCAAAGTCCATCTTCAATGTCTCATGTTCTCTGTTGGTTTGGTGTAGTATTTGTTGTTGTTGCTGCGAGAGGTTTCCTCTGTGTCTCAGCATCTCCTCTTGTTGTTGTATCATAACTTTTTGTAGCTTTAAGGATTCTTCTTTTTCTTTAAGGTCTTCCTCCCTCTTTCTTGTTATCTCCTTCTGTTCTTGTAGGGACTGGACGTGCTGCTGAAGGGCAAGGTTCTGTTCTTGTAATGTCTCTTCCATCTCATGTCGAGTCTCCAGGTAACTTTGTAGCGTATTATTTTGGGTCTGTATCGTTTCCTCTTGTTTTTGTAGAATACCTTCCTTCTCCTGTAGTTGGTCGGCCATCTCGAGAGCCTGTGTCTCATGCATGATGACCTTTTGTCGTAGCTCCTCCACCTCCTGCAGCAGATGCATGTTGATGTTGTTGACATCGTGTTCATTAGCTGTCGTGATGATTGAAAGTTTCCATTAACTGGTCGTCCATTAATTGAGCATCCGAAAGTAGTAGAACTAATTTTATTTTTGTCAACAAAAAAGTGTGTGTGTGTGTGTTTGTGTGTTTGTGTGTAGGAAATCCTCAATGACTGAATATTATAATTCGGTTATTTACATGGTGAGAAGAAGTTGAAAATAAAGACATTTTGAGAAAGCTCTCCACACTCTGGCCAGAAGGGAGTTAAAAAAGAAAAGCCTTTCCATATCATTCATTACTCTATGGGTTCCTTAGGGTAAAAGTGTTAATGCAGTATAAGACCATTGCCAAGAACATACAACAATAGTAATAACTTTTCTATAACTGAGAGAAACATTACCATGGACGGCTGTCGCGTTCTTCGTCAAGTAGGCGGTTAAGGCCTGGGACAAGTTTGCCAGCACTGATTTAGACTCTGTAAGTACGTGAAGGATAACAATATTATATGACCGCTTAAAACACCGATTAACTTGGTACTACAAAAAAAGTTATTGTGTTTAAATATTTGCAGTGCCAGTTAGGTAGATTCTGCTGATCTATATACTGTACATTGTGTTCATTAAGATATCTATAAAAACGAACATGAGAAAGATGATTAACGAATATTACCTCCTGTAGCGGCTTTGTACTCTGCCAGGTGAGCGGTAAAGTCTTGGGACATATTTGTCAGAAGCGACTGCATGGCTGAAAGTGAAAAGTTGAACATTTAGGCAGAAACTAAACCAACAATACCTGAGTGAATCATCATCTCCGTGGCAGTCAGAGGATCAGTGTTGGTCTGAACTCTGGGGATGGAAAATATGGGAAGAAAAATAACAAACTATTATTGCAGTCAGGGGTCAGTAGTACCAACCCTGTACAATGTTTATATACATGAACTGTCATTGTACATTGTTGGTATCCCTGCACTGTCTATGTACAGTCCTCCCAAAAAGTATCGTTATATTTTCCGTCGCCACAATGTGAAACGCTGGAAGAAATGCTTTGATATGGTCCCCAGTGCATCATCATAAGTTGGTCCGCTAAGCCTGCTCGCCATATCAACAACACCTACAGATGGGGTTAGGATTGGGGGAGGGGGTCGTCCCTGTATGGCATACTAGACACTGTGGGCTCGCTCCCTCCAGTTCGCCGTGGTCTCTCAGCGTTACGTCTACCTTGTTGTGAAGGCCAATTGTAGCACCTCTCACATGTTGCGAAGTCTCCCCGATAATTCCTCGTTCTATTCGATGTAAGATCCCGTTGATGGCTAGCATGGCATCGTTGTTCATTTACGACATCCACTCCGACATGTAATTTATGATCTGAAGCCTCGGAGGATTCACATCAATCGAAAACATATAAACTCATTCATGCTCAAAGGACAGGTATGTAGAACTACCAATCGTTCAGAAACAGGTCAGGTAACATAGCTCGGAAAGCCTCGAACCACATCGATCCCATGGCTAACGATACTTTTCGGGGGACTGTACAGTACATTGTAAACCTGAACTGTAATTGTGTATTGGTTTGTATACCTGCAATCCCTGTATATACTGTACACATGCACTGTCTATGTTCACGCTGAATCATTATAAACTTGTATGGCGAGTTTACTGAATAAATATTTATCAATCTGTCAATAATACATCTGGATATATCTTGAAGGCTTACAGATGGTATTGAAGCAAGAGCTCCGTCAATGCCTATAATAAGCAGGAGTGAAATTGGCGATTTGGCGACTGTCTTTTGTTTCATGAAGTTCCGTAAAAGTCACCAGTGTCAGGTGTAGTGCTCGGTGTGTGATGTTAGGGTGAGGAATATTCTATGAAGTATGTTAAGGGGCGAGGAACATTCTATGAAGTATGTTAAGGGGCGAGGAATATTCTATGAAGTGTGTTAAGGGTGAGGAACATTCTATGAAGTATGTTAAGGGGCGAGGAATATTCTATTAAGGGTGTTAAGGGATTTATGGAATGTGTTGCGTATATTCAAGTTTAGGTGAATAATAATAATAATAATAATAATAATATGATGATGATGATGATGATGATGACGATTGATGATGATGAAAGAGAAGAATGTGGAGAATATAATGATCTCTTCACAATTGAGACACAAAGATTCCTGATAACACCAGCCACTAAAAAGATTATAACTAGTACAATATATAGTTTTATTGGTAGTCTTAAGGGGCGTGCCACTACCCCCGGGAGCTGCCAAGGCTCGCAAGATAGAGGATATTAACGTCTTAACAATTACAAAATAGGGCATCCGGTTCTCATCACCGTGGCTCGGGTTCGAATTCTGATCGAATGTGAGAAGGGTTTTGTTTTGTATGACTTTACCGAATGTTGCAGGATTTTTCCGGGTACTTCAGTTTCCTCCTGTATTACAACTGGACCTGTGAAAAAAAAAATTTCAGGAACAATGACGTATTAAATACGTCACCGGCTACCTTACTTCGCCAATATGGCAAAATAAAACTCTGAGTGTTACCACATTGCTTTGGCACTTTTAGCACTATCTGGATTTCGTAATATTTCATATATTTTCGCGATTTTGTCAATTTAACCCACGTGACTACTGTACCAGAGAATCATACACCAGACTGCACATATTTACGACAGTGACATTAATCGTACCAGTGATTCCGCATGAAGATGTGATTCTGTTCCTCCTGCACCTAACACGACACCAGTATACTGTACATTGCCAGTGAGGAGGACGTTGTCCAATGTGGCACTGCTGAACATCGCAGGTGCTCTAATTTCCTCCTGTACTAACACTGAACCATGGGGTGCGGCCCTCACATGTACCTCTAGAGAGACCAAGTAGTTATGGTAGAGTTGTCGTGTATAAATATAGCATACTTACCCAGCTGACTAACTAGTAGTGAATGGAGTTCCTCTTGCCCCGCTACGTAGAAGGTAGCCTCGCCCGTGGTCTGCTGCATCATCTCACTGGACAACGCCACCCGCCATCCCACCACTGCTATGATCAAGAGGAGCTTATGCATGGTAGTGTAAGGACGACACAAAAAGTGGCCACACACACACACACACTTGTTTATCAGTAGCTACAAGATCGACCTCGGAGTAGGGGTGGAGTGTGAGTGAGAGGACGGGACTCGATCGAGTGAGAGGACGGGACTCGATCTAGTGAGAAGAGGGAGACTGATGGAGGGGAGAAGGCGGAGTGATAGGAGGGGAGGAGTGAGAGTAAGAGGGGGCGGGGCACGAGGTTCCTGGTACGTATAGTATCGAGTCACCAAGAGAAACTTTACTCCTTCATTTGTTTACACTTGTCAAAACCAGATTATCGTCACATTATTCCATATAAAGTGAGAGATGACATTAATTACTGACCAAACTAAACCCGATAACCTATTCTTTCTTGTACATTAATTATTTAAATCAAGGGAACTTTTCAAGAGGTATAGGGAGGCGCTGGGGAAGGTTAGAGATAGGGGAGGGATCCCGATAGTATGTGGCCTTGCCTAGAAGAGGAGTTGGTGGTGAATGGCTGTCCATGGCAATTGCTATAAATTGCCGACTGGAAAAACATTGTGCGAGCAATGGTTTGGCGTTCATTGATAACTGGCAACCATTCTATGGCAATGATTACCTGTACAGTCGTGACGGAGTACACTTGTCTCGCGCAGGGATAAAGACGTTGTCTGCATCCCTGGAGCGTGAAATTGTTACTCCAAAGAGGGGGCAGTAGAGAGGGGTAAGGGTAAGTGGGAGTCAAAAAACAAGCAGGTCCTGGGGAATAAAATTTGTTACTCAGGACAAACGGTACAACCTTTTTCACAAGGACAGGGAAGGTAGGAAGGGGGAGGGTCGCACTCTTCGTCAGGGATACATTAAAATGTTGTATTAATAATTCAATAAAGGGTGAAATAGGAACCGAGTCTGTATGGGTAGAACTTGCGGAAGGAAGAGAAAAACTAATTATGGGAGGGATTTACAGGCCCCCAAGTCTTGGGAAAGAAGCAGCTCTGCCCATATGGCAGGAAATGAGTAGGGCAGCAAGATACAACAACCTGTGCATTATGGGGGATTTCAACTTCAGAAATATTGACTGGGACAACATTGTAGGTGACTATGAATCTGAAGACTTCCTAGATGCAGTATAGGACAATTTTCTTAAAACAACTAATTACAGAACCTACTAGAGGTGACAATATATTAGACCTAGTATTAACAAATATCGAAAATATAATCAGAGATATCACAGTAGGGAAAAATTAGGGAACAGTGATCACAGAGAAATCAGGTTCACCCTAAATTGGGAAACGAAAAACAATGACAATATGGTCAGAGTCCCAGACTTTCGATCGGCGGATTATGAGGGGTTAAGAAGGTACCTAGGTGAGGCCGCCAAGGAACAGTCAGGTCAGCCCCCGGTAGGAACGGGTGAGGTCACCGGCGACACAACAATTGATCATGACTATAATATATTCACTAGTATACTACGTAAAGCACAAGAACAAAATATGCCATACAGAAAAATTAGGTCAAATAAGAATGAGCCAAGGTGGATGACGAAAAAGTTTAAACATGACAGGAATAAAGAAAGGAATTTATAAGAAATTAAAGGGAGGGGAGGAGCAGCTCAGAAATAGGTATAATGAACTATCTAGGAATGTTAAGAAAAATGTAAGGAAGACAAAGAGGGACTACGAAATCAGGATAGCAAGAGAATCCAAGGCGAATCACAAGGGATTTTTCCAGGTATATAGGACAAAGGTCAAGGACAAAGTGGGACCTTTAGAGACAGAGAGAGGGGGAGTGACCGATGATAGTGAGAAAATAAGCAAAGCATTAAACAGCTACTTCTTATCAGTTTTCACAGAAGAAATTCATAAGGAAATACCAGAGGTGAAACTCATATTTAGGGGAAATGAAGAAGAGAAATTAAAGAATATCACTATCAGAAAAGAGGATGTTCTTAAGAAAATAAATAAATTAAAGAAGCCAAAATCTCCAGGGCCGAATGAAATTTTCCCTCAAGTTTTAAAAGAGTGTAAGGAACAGATTAGCGGACCCCTCGTTAATTTATTTACAAAATCATTAGACATGGGAGTTGTGCCAGACTTGTGGAAACAGGCAAATGTAGTACCCATATTAAAAAAGGGAGACAGAGCATCAGCGTCAAATTACCGGCCGATTAGTTTGACGACAGTAGTGGGGAAATTTTGTTAATCAATTATAGCAAATAGCATCCGATTGCTTTTAGAGAAAAACAAATTATTCTACGACTCTCAACAAGGGTTTACAAAGGGAAAATCTTTTCTAACAAATCTGCTGACTCTTTTTAGGAAAGTCTTCGAGGTAGTAGATAATGACGGAAATTACGATGTTATTTACTTAGACATTAGCAAAGCGTTTGACAGAGTACCGCACCAGAGGCTAATGAGAAAAGTTAAGGCTCGTGGTATCGAGGGTAAAGTTTTAAATTGGATAAAATCATGGCTTACCGATAGAACACAGAGGGTCAGCATAGATGGTGTTCACTCTGAGTGGGGGCTGTGTAACCAGTGGGGATCAGCAGTGACATAAGCAAGTTTGCGGATGACACCAAAATAGGGCGGTAGATTAATTCAGGGCAGGATGCAAATGCACTACAGGAGGATTTAAATAAACTGCAGGAGTGGTCAGAAAAATGGCAAATGAAATTCAACACCAACAAGTGCAGCGTACTTAATATTGGAAGAACAAATGCTGTTAATGTATACAGCCTTAATAACGGCCTAGAAAACAGTGTGTTAATGTTCGAAATAAGGCAAACAGAGTATTAGGTTTTATATCTGGAAGTGTAAGTAATAAGAGTGCAGAGGTCATATTACAACTATATCTTGCGCTAGTCAGGCCGCACCTCGATTATGCTGATCAGTTCTGGTGCCCTTATAGAATGGATATCAATTCACTGTCGGTGCAGCGAAGAATGGCGAAAATGATTCCGGGACTTAGAAACCTTCCATATGAAGATAGATTAAAGAAACTAAACTTGCATTCCCTAGAAAGACGAAGAGTGCGGGGAGATATGATAGCAGTATTAACAACAAAGAAGATGTAGATAAAGTTCTTATAATATCCGAGCAGGATAGGACTCGTAGCAACGGAATTAAGTTGGATAAGTTTAGGTTTAGGAGGGAGATAGGAAGGAACTGGTTCACAAATAGGGTGGTGGACGAGTGGAACAAGCTTAGCAACTTTGTAGTAAGTGCTGGAACGCTGGAAAGTTGTAAAAGGAGGCTAGATAGATTCATGGATGATAGAGAGTGGTAGTAACTCTCGACAGGAGCTGCCATGCACAGGCCAACCGGCCTATTGCAGACTCCTTATTTTCTTATGTTCTTATGTGTTAGTCTCTCCCCTTTAGTTTAATTTTACACCACTTGGATTCTTCAAAAACATCCACTCCCCGCACCCTCACCCGGTTGGCTCTAAGGTCTTGCCTAACATAGATAACCACACCCCTCTTACAAGTTGCCTGAGAAAGGTTCGTAAACGAGTCATATTCATCTATATTGAACTCACAGTCTTCCAGGTCAATTCTCTTATTTTTGTGCAACAGTTCTACAACACCTACTATATCGGGTTGATGTGTCGTAAGTAGGGTTTCAAACTCCTCTCTCTTATCAAGGAACGTGTGAGCATTAGGGTACATGACTTTCAAGCCGGAAATATCCTCGGTCGCGTCTCTGAACTTGGTAGTGACTCCGGCCCCCCTACATTCTCAACAGCTGCTTCGTTTACTAAACTCACTGTATCTTGTGGTGTGTGGTTAGAGATGATATTGTTTACATGGTGCACGCCTCCTCCTGGGTGGGGGGGGGGTCTAGCTGTCCCCTGGTCCTGAACAGATGCATTTGCCTCCACTACTTTCTCTTTGTATATATCACATCCATGTCCGTCCCCCTTTTCATCAAATCTTCTGCGTCAAGCACATCAGGAGTTTCTTGTGCTGTTCCCTTTGCATTAACGTACGATCTGGACTTATGAATATGTTCCGAAATGCTTCATTCCTTGCTAAGTGTTTGCCTGCCGAATAACTTCCCATTTCTTTTCCTCATTCTCTAATGTGATCCTAAGGGGGGCGGGACTTATTCTCCTGCTTCTGCCCTAGCCTCCTCACGTCGTGAGGGGCAGCGGACAGTTGTAGAGCTTCTGTGCAAATCTTCTGACACTCCATCTTTTTATGAGTTTTCCTGCTTTCAGCTCCCTGACTGACTATCAGGGACTCCAAATATTATTATAATGTTCCTGCGTCCCGGCGTCCCCCCTTCTCCCATATCAGCAGGCCTATTGGTTGTAATCTTTTCAACACTCTTCTGCAGGGCCTGTTCTGATCCTACATTTCTCTCAGTCACTTCGTGAGACCCTGTTACAACCTGACCATAGCTCCTCTTCACTACTGCCTCTATCCTATCAGCGATCCTCCGCTTTAGTGAGGATCTCTTTCCCAACTTGGACTAGTCTGGCAAACGTCAAGGATCCAGTTTCTTCTGTATCTCCTTCCCTTACAATAGCCTCGTTGAGTTTGGTCTTACAATCACCTGGTGATTTGTAATGAAGATGGATAATTACTCCACACACACACACACACACACACACACACACATTATATAAGCACAACTTCTCCTTACAGATATGTATCAAAAAGTATTATAATAAAATATAAGACCTTTATTTATCTCAGCAGAGTGTTGTGTCACGCACTAGATGGTAGCAGATAATAACACACAGTCATAGAAATTAACATAATGCATCACTCTTGCTTGTGGCAGCACTTAGAAGATTAACTTACAAGTGATGAAGGAGTGGTTAGTGTGTGTGTGTGTGTGTGTGTGTGTGTGTGTGTGTGTGTGTGTGTGTGTGTGATAAACAATTTAGGGCGTGGAGTACAGAGGTCAGGCGAATAGTCCTCGTGCACTAAACAATCACAATCGGCGTATCATCTGTGAATGTACGGAGTTGAGAGGAGAGGGTGCAGGAGCAGGAAGAAGAAGAGGGGGAGGAAAAGAGGAGGACGAAAAAGAAGAAGAGGAGGAAGAAAAGGAGGGGGAGGAATAAACAGAAGAGGAGGAGGAGGAGATAAAAGAAAGGAGGGAAGAGGAGGTTAGGTTAGGTAGAGTTGTAAAAAGTATCGGACTTTGTTACTTAAGCAAAAGT